CTTTATAGCACTTGCAGTTTGTTGGTGGTCTCCCATCCAAATGTGAACCAGGGCTGGCCTTGCTTAGCATGCAAGAATTCATGGCATTTAGACCTATGACTTCAGACTAGGCTAGAGGCATTTCCTATGACTTCGGACTAGGCTAAAGGCATTTCCTACCAGTTTCTTCCTCCAAAATGGAGCCTTGTGGAACTTGCTGTTTGTTGGCGGTCTCCCATCCAAATGCTAACCGGGGTGGCCCTGCTTAGCATGCAAGAATTAATGGCATTTGGTCCTATGACTTCGGACTAGGCTAGTAGTGTTTCCTACCAGTTTCTTCCTCCAAAATGGAGCTTTATAGCACTTGCTGTTTGTTGGTGGTCTCCCATCCAAATGCTAACCAGGGGCACCCCTGCTTAGCATGCAAGAATTCACGGCATTTAGGCCTATGACTTCAGACTAGGCTAGAGGCATTTCCTACCAGTTTATTCCTCTAAAATGGAGCTTTATGGAACTTACTGTTTGTTGGCGGTCTCCCATCCAAATGCTAACCAGGTCCGGCCCTGCTTAGCATGCAAGAATTCACGGTATTTGGGCCTATGACTTCAGACTAGCCTAGAGGCATTTCCTATGACTTTGGACTAGGCTAGAGGCATTTCCTACCAGTTTCTTCTTCGAAAACGAGCTTATGGCACTTGTTGTTTGTTGGCAGTCTCCCATCCAAATGCTATCCAAGGCCAGCCCTGCTTACCATGCAAGAATTCATGGTATTTGGGCCAAGACTTCAGACTAGGCTAGAGGCATTTCCTATGACTTCGGACTAGGCTAGAGGCATTTCCTACCAGTCTCTTCCTCCGAAACGTAGCCTATGGCACTTGCGGTTTGTTGGCAGTCTCCCATCCAAATGCTAACCAAGGCCAGCCCTGCTTAGCATGCAAGAATTCATGGCATTTAGGCCTATGACTTCGGACTAGGCTAGTGGTGTTTCCTACCAGTTTCTTCCTCTAAAATTGAGCTTTATGGAACTTACTGTTTGTTGGCGGTCTCCCATCCAAATGCTAACCAGGTCTGGCCCTGCTTAGCATGCAAGAATTCATGGCATTTGGGCCTATGACTTCAGACTAGGCTAGTAGTGTTTCCTACCAGTTTCTTCCTCCACAATGGAGCTTTATACCACTTGCGGTTTGTTCGCGGTCCCCCATCCAAATGCTAACCAAGGCTGGTCCTGCTTAGCATGCAAGAATTCATGGCATTTAGGCCTATGACTTTTGACTGAGCTAAAGATGTTTCCTACCAGTTTCTTCTTCCAAAATGGGGCCTATGGCACTTTCTGTTTATTGGTGGTCTCCCATCCAAATGCGAACCAGGGCTATCCCTGCTTATACTGCAAGAATCCATGGCATTTAGGCTTAAGACTTCAGACTAGGCTAGTGGTGTTTCCTACCAGTTTCTTCCTCCAAAATGGAGCTTTATAGCACTTGCGCTTTGTTGGCGGTCTCCCATCCAAATGCTAGCCAAGGCCGGCCCTGCTTAGCATATAAGAATTCATGGCATTTAGGCCTATGACTTCAGACTAGGCTAAAGGCGTTTCCTATGACTTCAGACTAGGCTAGAGGCATTTCCTATGACTTCAGACTAGGCTAGAGGCATTTCCTATGACTTCAGACTAGGCTAGAGGCATTTCCTATGACTTCAGATTAGGCTAAAGGCGTTTCCTACCAGTTTCTTCCTCTGCAATGGAGCTTTATACCACTTGCGGTTTGTTCGCGGTCTCCCATCCAAATGCTAACCAGGGCCGGCCCTGCTTAGCATATAAGAATTCATGGCATTTAGGCCTATGACTTCAGACTAGGCTAAAGGCGTTTCCTACCAGTTTCTTCCTCTGCAATGGAGCTTTATACCACTTGCGGTTTGTTCGCGGTCTCCCATCCAAATGCTAGCCAAGGCCGGCCCTGCTTAGCATATAAGAATTCATGGCATTTAGGCCTATAACCAGGGCCGGCCCTGCTTAGCATATAAGAATTCATGGCATTTAGGCCTATGACTTCAGACTAGGCTAAAGGCGTTTCCTATGACTTCAGACTAGGCTAGAGGCATTTCCTATGACTTCAGACTAGGCTAGAGGCATTTCCTATGACTTCAGACTAGGCTAGAGGCATTTCCTATGACTTCAGATTAGGCTAAAGGCGTTTCCTACCAGTTTCTTCCTCTGCAATGGAGCTTTATACCACTTGCGGTTTGTTCGCGGTCTCCCATCCAAATGCTAACCAGGGCCGGCCCTGCTTAGCATATAAGAATTCATGGCATTTAGGCCTATGACTTCAGATTAGGCTAAAGGCGTTTCCTACCAGTTTCTTCCTCTGCAATGGAGCTTTATACCACTTGCGGTTTGTTCGCGGTCTCCCATCCAAATGCTAGCCAAGGCCGGCCCTGCTTAGCATATAAGAATTCATGGCATTTAGGCCTATGACTTCAGACTAGGCTAAAGGCGTTTCCTATGACTTCAGACTAGGCTAGAGGCATTTCCTATGACTTCAGACTAGGCTAGAGGCATTTCCTATGACTTCAGACTAGGCTAGAGGCATTTCCTATGACTTCAGACTAGGCTAGAGGCATTTCCTATGACTTCAGACTAGGCTAAAGGCGTTTCCTACCAGTTTCTTCCTCTGCAATGGAGCTTTATACCACTTGCGGTTTGTTCGCGGTCTCCCATCCAAATGCTAACCAGGGCCGACCCTGCTTAGCATGCAAAATTCATGGCATTTAGGCCTATGACTTTGGACTAGGCTAGTAGTGTTTCCTACCAGTTTCTTCCTCCAAAATGGAGCTTTACGGCACTTGCTGTTTGTTGGCGGTCTCCCATCCAAATGCTAACCAAGGCCAGCCCTGCTTAGCATGCAAGAATTTACGGCATTTAGGCCTATAACTTCGGACTAGGATAGTGGTGTTTCCTACCAGTTTCTTCCTCTACAACAGAGCTTTATAGCACTTGTGGTTTGTTCGCGGTCTCCCATCCAAATGCTAAGCAGGGCCGGCCCTGCTTAGCATGCAAGAATTCATGACTTCGGACTAGGCATGGGATCCCCTATATATACAACAAAGAAACACACTTCTCACGCTCATTCTTTTGGTTTTTTTTTTCCACAACCGTTTTTATTAAAGTGTAAATCCAGGCAAAATTAAAGAACCGGGTTTGGGGATCGTCTGAGTCGCGGCCGGGGGGCAAGAGGAGCCCCAAAGTCCCAAGAGAAGGTGGTGAGGGTGGGTCTGGGGAGTGTTTTGGGGGGCGGGTGTCCACCTCGAAGCGGCCCTTTGATTGGAGGCAAACCAGGTTTAGATTCCACTGAAGGTATGTAAAAGGGGGCACAAGGAGGAAACGAGGGGTGCAGTGTGCGATGCAAAAGAAGTTGGATTTGGACTAGAATCATGGGCACAATTCAATCCCTCCCGACAGATGGCCATCCACCTTCTGCTTAAAGACTTTCCTAGAATACTAGAGTTGGAAGGGGAACCCAAAGGCCATCCAGTCCAGCCCTAATCTGCCATAAAGGCACAATTCAATCCCTCCCGACAGATGGCCATACAGCTTCCGCTTAAAGATTTCCGTAGGATTCTAGAGTTGGAAGGGAAACCCAAAGGCCATCCAGTCCAACCCATATCGGCCATAAAGGCACAATTCGATCCCTCCTGACAGATGGTCATACAGCTTCTGCTTAAAGATTTCCGTAGGATTCTAGAGTTGGAAGGGGAACCCAAAGGCCATCCAGTCCAACTCCTTTCTGCCAGACAGGAAGAAACAATCCAATCTCTCCCAACAGATGGCCAACCAGCCTATATTTAGAATTCTACAGTTGGAAGGGGAACCCAAAGGCCATCCAGTCCAACCCTAAACTGCCAGGTAAGAAGACACAATTTGATCCCTCCCGACAGATGGCCATTCAGCTTCTGCTTAAAGACTTCCATAGGATTCTAGAGCTGGAAGGGGAACCCAAAGGCCATCCAGTCCAACCCTATTCTGCCAGGTAAGAAGACACAATTTGATCCCTTCCAACAGATGGCCCTACAGCTTCTGCTTAAGGACTTCCATAGAATTCTAGAGTTGGAGGGGGAACCCAAAGGCCATCCAGCCTAACCCCTTTCTGCCAGACAGGAAGACACAATCCAATCTCTCTCAACAGAGGGCCAACCACCCTATATTTAGAATTCTACAGTTGGAAGGGGAACCCAAAGGCCATCCAGTCCAACCTCTTTCTGCCAGGCAGAAGGACACAATGTGATCTCTCTCAACAGATGGCCATCCAGCCTCTGCTTAAAGACTTCCATAGAATCCTAGAGTTGGAAGGGGCACCCAAAGGCCATCCAGTCCAACTGCTTTCTGCCAGGAAGGAAGGCACAATCCGATCCCTCCTGACAGATGGCCATCTGTTTAGAGGCTTCCATGGAATCTTAGAGGTGGATGGGGCACCCAAAGGCCATCTAGTCCAACCCCAATCTGCCACAAAGGAACAATTTGATCCCTCCTGACAGATGGCCATCCAGCCCCTATTTTAATATGTCCAGAAGAGAATAATATTCCTTGAGACGAGATACTGAAGTGGCATCATGCACAACCCCCTCCCTCTTGGTGCCCTCTCTGTGATGCTAAGGGTTTCTCAAGTGGGGCGTAAAATGATCAGAGGGAAAGCTAGAGTGGTCTCGCATCCCTTCCTTGTGCGTCTACACTTCTGAACTGATGCAGTTTGACACCACTTTAGCTACCCTGGCTCAATGCTATGAAAACAAAAGGAATTGTGAGTTTGGCACCAGTCGAAATGATATGGCTCAAGGCTATGGAGTCATGGGAATTGTAGTTTCACAAGTCCTACGCCAAACAGTGCAAACTATAACTCCCAGGATTCCACTGCATGGTGCCATAGTGCTGAAAGTGGCGCCAAAGCACATCAATGCTACAGTCAAGATGCATTCTTTGTTGCATCTGTAGAATGAATGCACTCGAACCACCATCAGTTGGCATGGCTTTAACTACATTATGTAACAAAATTTGTCCTGGAAGCTATAGTTTCACAAAGTCCTCAATGCAAACTACAACTCCCAGTGTTCTGTTAGCGGTGAAGAAGAGCAGCTAAAGTGAGGTCAAACTGCATCCATTCTACAACATTGTTTTCTCTGGCCTCGAGGTGGACATCACGCAAAGGTTGGGGAAAATGGGAGATCTAGTTTCCTTGGGCCCTGTTTCTGAATAGAAAGATGGTTGAGGCAGTGTGGAAGGATGGAAGGGTGAAAGGAGGGAGAGAAATGTGTGCATCGGGAAGGGTGCCATTCATTCCGCTTTCGCTTTGGCTGTCGGCAGCTTCGCCAGCATCCTATGGAGGGAAGGAAAGAAGGAAGGAAGGAAAGAAAGAAGGAGGGAGGTAAGAAAGGAAGGAAGGAAGGAAGGAAAGAAGGAAGGAAAGCAGCAAAGAAAGAAAGAAAAAGGAAGGAAGGGAGGAAGGAAGGAAGGAAGGAAGGAAGGAAGGAAGGAAGGAAGGAAGGAAGGAGGGGAAGACAGAAGGAAGGAAAGAAAGAAGGAAGAAAAGAGAGAAGGAAGGAAGGAGAGGGAGGGAAAGAAGGGAGGGAAGGAAAAAGGAAGCAAAGAAGGAAGGAAGGAAAGAGGGAAGGAAAAAAGGGAGAAAATAAGGAAGGAAAAGGGAAGGAAAGAAAGAAGGAAGGAAGGAAGGAAGGAAGGAAGGAAGGAAGGAAGGAAGGAAGGAAAGAAGGAAAAGAAGAAGGAAGGAATAAGGAAAGAAAGAAGGAAGGAAAGAGGGAAGGAAGGAAGGGAAGAAAGAAGGAAGGAAAAGAAGAAGGAAGGAAGTAAAGAGGGAAGGAAGGAAGGAAGGAAAGAAAGAAAGAAAGAAGGAAAAGAAGAAGGAAGGAATACGGAAAGAAAGAAGGAAGGAAAGAGTGAAGGAAGGAAGGAAGGAAGGAAGGAAGGAAGGAAGGAAGGAAGGAAGGCAGGAAGGAAGAAAAAAGGGAAGGAAGGAAGGAAGGAAGGAAGGAAGGAAGGAAGGAAGGAAGGAAGAAAAAGGGAAGGAAGGAAGGAAGAAGGAAAAGAAGAAGGAAGGAATAAGGAAAGAAAGAAGGAAGGAAAGAGGGAGGGAAGGAAGGAAGGAAGGAAGGAAAGAAGGAAAGAAGGAAGGAAGGAAAGAAGGAAAAGAAGAAGGAAGGAATAAGGAAAGAAAGAAGGAAGGAAAGAGGGAAGGAAGGAAGGAAGGAAGGAAGGGGAGAAAGAAGGAAAAGAAGAAGGAAGGAATAAGGAAAGAAAGAAGGAAGTAAAGAGGGAAGGAAAAGAAGGAAGAAATAAGGAAAGAAAGAAGGAAGGAAAGAGCGAAGGAAGGAAGGAAGGAAGGAAGGAAGAAAAAAGGGAAGGAAGCAAGGAAGGAAGAAAAAAGGGAAGGAACGAAGGAAGGAAGGAAGGAAGGAAGGGAAGAAAGAAGGAAAAGAAGAAGGAAGGAATAAGGAAAGAAAGAAGGAAGGAAAGAGGGAGGGAGGGAAGGAAGGGAGGAAGGAAGGAAAAAAAGAAAAAAGGAAGGAAAGAAAGAAAGAAAGAAAGAAAGAAAGAAAGAAAGAAAGAAGGGATTAAAGAGGGAAGGCAAAAGGGAAGGGAGGAAGGGAAGAAGGAAGTAAGAAAAAAAGGAAGGAAGGAAAGAAGGAAGGAAGTAAAAAGGAAGAAAAGAAGGAAGAAAGGAAAGAAAAAGGAAGGAAGTAAAGAAGCAAGGAGAGAAAGAAAGAAGGAAGGATGGAGAAAAAAAACAATTAGTGGAGTAATTTTTTTCACAGAAGTAATTTCTCAAAATTATTTTAAAGTACAGAATTATGTAGACAGAATATGGCTCCAAGCTTGGAAAAAGGAACATTCCGTGGAAGATGGAAGAGATTTAAGGGTGTTGAGCCCCTCTTTGACTGCCATGGCTCAATGTTATGGAAGAAGGGGAGTTATAGTTTTTTAAGGTCTTTAGCTTGTAAATGACAGCTCCCAGGATTCCATAGCAATGAGCCATTGCAGTTTAAACGTGGGGTCAAAACTTGGATCTTTCTCAAAATTTGAAATACTAAACAGTACTTCCCCAGAGTGGCACTAGAGGGCGCTGTGCTCCCATTGTGTAGAATGCATTGCAAAGACATGCAAGCCTAGATTTTATTTTAGATCAATTCACAAATACATTTCCCTTTGTTGCTTTCTCCACTTAGTATTATATGAGCAAAGAGGGGGAAATGCAGCTAAGAGTATTTTTTTGCACCTCTGAGAAGTTGTTTTTTCCAAATAGTGTTTGGGAACATATTGGTTGGGGCAGACTAGATGACCTTTGGGACCTCTTCCAAGTCCGCAATGCTTTGATTCCAGGTTGGAGAAAGCAACTGGGAAGGATGCAATATGCAGAATAGGACAGGGGTGGTTATGACTTACTTTGCTCTGAGGTTACTCAACTGATTCCTCACCAGCCCTACATACTGATCGATCTGTGCCTGGAAAAGAGAAGAAGT